CAGTGGCGGCTGGTGACAAAAAATCTTGGTGGGGCTGGTGTGCCAATATATTTCCCTGCCTAACCCAGTACATGCATTCAAGTTAAAAGTTGTAAAATTAGTACAATTCCACAATAATGATTTAATTCCCTTATCAGAATCAGCAGTTTACATATACAGTTAACCATTTGAAGCTATATTAGGTATTATTTTGGAAAGGAACAGTATGAAATACAACACTCAATTTTACTATTTGTCACCAAACACACAAAGTAGACACACAGGTGGTTAGCTTAACACGGTTTTCCATATGAACTCGTGATCTTTCATGTTTCTTAGTTGTTCAGAGAGGTGTTTTAAGTCTGTCTGTCCAGACTGTGTCCAAGTCAAATAACTCCGGTCACTTTTAAAGGGATGCGGGGAAAACATAATTGGCCGTCCCACCGGCTGTCAGCCAGGACTCACGCTGGAACCAGCTCCTGCTAAAAGGCCGGCTGTAGGACTTAGCTTTTTCATTGGTTCGCTGCGTTAAATTTATTTCGGACTTGTCAGGTCCCAGCTTCTTTACGTTTAATTTTTCCACCATTGTCCTTCTCACGAAAGGAGAACTCAGTAAAGATCTCATTGAATTATGTGAAAGCAGCTCTACAACTGTCGCCGTCGCCGTCATCTCTACGTCACAGCCTGACTGACCAATAGCTACACGTCTATGGCTTTGGGGCGCCAGCTCCAGGCGCCCCAAAGCCAATAATTTCGGCGATGCTGATTGGCCAAATATTTATTAATTTTCCCTAGCAACATTTTTCAATTGGTTATTTCGCTGCACTTCTGGGGCGCTTGAGGCTAGCGCCCCAGAAGAGAAACGATACGTTCTGTGGGTGGAAATGCACTGTTGAATGAGAGTCAGTTGGTGGAAGTGTTGTTTTAATAATTCATATTACATGTAGCCACATATCATTAAGTAAAACTGACATTGATAATACTTTAAAAATAAATATATATATTATAACTTTCCCCCTCCACATCTAGGGGGGGCGGCGCCCGAGCGCCCCCTATGGGCCGGCCGCCACTGGTGGCATCCCTGGCTCCTCGCTCATGGGTTGTCTGGGAACCATAGCCTGGTTTCTTAAACCAACCACCGCAAAAACTCGGGGTAAAAATGGACGCCGACCTCAAGCTCGGCTCTGGGATCAGTTCAGCTGTTAAACCGAGCTTCTTTCAGTTCAGGCAGATGGCCAAAATTAAACCACTTTGACGGAGTAATCCAGGCCTTGGTGACCGCAAGGCTGGATTAGTGTAATGCACTTATTGTGGGGGTTAGTGGGGTTAGTGGGTCCGGACGCTCCAAACGCTGCAGCGCATCTTTTAACTGGTGCCCATAACCACGAGCACATTTCCACCACTGTAGCCACACTCCACTGGTTACCAATACATAACAGGATCAGTTTTAAAACGCTTCCTGCCTTCCTATTCAAACCCCGTCCCTGTCCCTGTCCCCGACCTGCCTGGTGGATCTGCATCTCCTCTGGAGCTTGTTAGGCTCCAGAGGAGGAAAGTCAGTGTGCTTCTTGAGAGTTTGAGCTTCAACTTTCACCACTAAAGTGTCACTAGTGGCTTTTATGAAAGACTCAGCACTGTGCTGTAAGGAAAATTGGGAATATACCAGAAGATGCTTTCTCAGATATTGTCAATAGGGCCCACGTTTGAAGAACTCTGATCCAGTACTTCAGAAAACACACAGGACGCTTACTGCATGGCTTCCGAAGCAGAGAGCATCTCCAGCCGGACCAGAGGTGACCACCGGCTCTCTGGGGAAGTGGATTGGTTACTCTTTAACTTTGTTTGAAAGAAAAACAAAGTTTTCCTGTTTAACGACTGCGTCAGGATGTAGTGGGCTCGATTTTCACGCTAAGAAAAACCATAAAAATTCAAATTACATCAGCAGTTTAGAAGATTGTATCTATCCACATTATTTCCTGACTTGGAGGTTTGATTTTTGTTCCCCCTCCTATGTAATTAGAGTGTTGAGTCATCTGTGATTCCCAGCCAGCCCTTCCTATCATGGTTATTCATTTACGGACACGTTTCCCCTCCCAGATATGTCACCTGAACAAAAAGCTCTAGTCATGAACATGCTTGTTGATCTGTTTTTTTTTTAATATCCCGATTATTGAGTCTTTTTGGAGCCATGTGCGTTACTCAACCAGAGACCTCGGCCTGGTTATCAAACCCCCCTTGTGCTTAGTTGGTTCAAACCCTTGTTCTGACAGCAACAAAAAGGACACAGCAGCTCTTTTTGAAAAAGACTCCGTGTCTCTTCCTTGTACCATTTCACAATGGAATAGATTTGTGGAT